ACATCTCCAGTTTCAAAACACAGTCTGGTGGAAAACAACCCTGGTAATGAACATGATGATTAATTGTTAAATACCACTGACAGGCACAGCATTGTGTAGGGCATCACATTCAGACAGTCCAATGGTAAATATTTGCTGACTAGATAAGACCAACAGCAATGAAGTTCCAGGCTGTAAACCAATCAGTTTTGATACTCTTGTGTCACTGGGCATCCTAAAGCACACAGATACTGAAAGGGAAACCACAAACTACAGCACAAAGGCAGGAAGATTCAGAACTGGTGGAATTCACAGCCACTTGGCACACATTATCATGGCCAAAAGTCTGCAATCACAGCAACCAGTACACCAGTACTCTTCATCAGAGATATGCATGCAGCAACCTAAAAGATCAGCTCAGCAGAAGCACAAATTAGGTCTCACTTGAACTTGCAGGCTCACAAAGGAACCAAGCTGCTATTAAGCCATCATTCATGCCCTCTGACTTTTTAGATTAGAAGAGATACCACAGAAATGGAAGTTTGTGCTTACAGACTTTCTGAAGCTACCAAAAGCAGAGAAGATGAGCTGCTTTACTGCAGAGAGCCATGTCAAAAATAACCCTTTTCCTGTTTTTGCTTCGAAGATGAACAAAAGTACCAATTCCAGTACTAACTATCCAACTACGTATTCAAGTCCCAAATGCAACCCATCAGATACACACTACATTTAAAGCTTTGATTTCTGGAGATGTGTGAATATGATTAACACTGAGAGATATTGTCCAAAAGCATGGGACGGTATTAAAACATGTCACAATTTGTGCCAACGTTTCAGAACACACCATGTCTGACATCTGTCCTCCCCAAAGCCCCAGTTAACCGACTCTGGCCACAAGCAGAACAAAAGAATGCAACCCGTTTGCCTCTTCCATTATGAAACCCCCAGGAAGCTGCCAGCTCCTCACACAAATGAGGTTCCAGGGAGGATTTTGTCACAGGTTCCAAAAGCAATCCCAGGACACGCACATCTGTCACTTCCTGCAGCGGCTTGCTGGGTTTCTAATGAAGGAGAAGCCCCACTTCCTCTCCTCTGTCCTAAACCAGGAACATGAAAGCTCTTAAAAGCCAGAGAAACCGAGAACTACAAAATGTACACAGTTACTCATTGTGCAGCTTCCTGGAATTGTATGGCACAAAGTGAACAGAGGTAGAGTCCACCAAGGTTTTGTCTATGAAACCTCTATGGCTGCTCGTCCAGCAGCCCAAGAAGCCTCCATCTCCCCAGCATGTAACTTTTCCTAAGGTAAGATGGAATACTCCTAATAATGTATTTCAGGTTTACATCTTAGAAGCATTTTAGGATAGGTCTTTTCCTTTAGCTCAACTTGTCATTTAGGACTTCAATAAGTGTTTTGAGCAGGAGACCAAACTGAGGCTATTCTGAGGCAATCTATTCCCCATTGATCCAACAAAATCCACAGCCAGTTTTACGTTCTTCGGAGCACCAATGTTTTTAATGTCACCATTACCTAGTCTGGAGGCTGTAACTGACCAAACATTTATCTTTAGGACAAGCATTAACAGAAGACTAACTGGGTGATCTTGGAGCTCAAGGGAAAGGGAGGTCTAGCATTAGGACACAACAGCTTCCAGGACCTCCCATGAAAGCATGTTCAGCAAGGAATAACAAAAGCAAAACAGAATACAAACCATTTAGCATTCTTGGCATTCTAGCCTATCTCTCCCCTCCTAGGGAAGCACACTAGTAGAGTCTCTGCTCTGCATGAAATCTTCACAGGAAACTGTTCAAGAACCAAGTATTTATCATACCTCAGCTATTATATATGTACTGTTGTGGAGCTTTCATACAGGAGTCTAAGTCAGGCAACAGTGGCACAGGGCCCATCTCATTCCAATACTGATCTTAAGCCAAAAGGAGAGCACTTCTTTAAGCCCAAGTGATCTACCCTCTCAGCAGTTCTTGTCTTTAACATCGAGACCCAAATGCAGTTCCACAGATTAGTAGCAAGGATGACTAAGTAGTAAATAATAAATTAAAGCAGACAGACCTTCACATCCCCACATCAATACTGCATACTCATTACATACATATAAAATGCTAACAGATTGCATCTACTAACCTATGAGGAAAGAAACATCATCATGCCTTAATAAAAAAATCTGTGCACCTGTGAGAAGGTATCCTGCTTTATAAAGCTGTATGTGGGTAAATAACTTCTATCATTACCTGGGTAGCAAATGATGGATAAGGAGGATAGGTAAGCTGTCTGCATCCCTTACAAAAATCATATTGTATCGTCTATATAGACCCCTGGAGCACCCAACATGGTACGGGTCATCATGCTTTTGTACAAGGGCAAAGTACAGGGAAACTCCTACCCCTGAGAAGGGGCTTCTTTCTGCTCTTTCACCTTGAACAAAACTGTATCATAGGCAAGCCAAGCTCTTAGAGGCCATCTCTGCTGTTTAAGGAAAAAAACAGCTTTTCTTCTGCTCTATCAGCCACCTAACAGCTTTTAGAGAACCAGCAGGTAAATAAGCCTTAACTTTATCCAGGCTGTTAAAAACTAGCCCCAGATATAGAACATTATGTAGGCTGGAGTTTCCGGCCAAGAAGAGCAGCCAGCCTTCATCAGACCTGGAGCTTTATGGACAGCATTGAGTCCTAAAAGCATTTGTTTATTCACTTGGATGCTTACTGTATGCTAATGGTCACAGAGCTATCGCTTTTGCTCAGGGGCATGTGAGCAACACATGCATCACTGAAACGAGTCAGCTGGTGCACAGTTTGCTCTCAACTACCAGCTTTCCCAGGAAAACCCTGCCATACAAACAGGCACAATCTGGCCACATCATGGGGTAAAGCTTATTGGACTCCAAAATACCTATCAAACTGCTACGTAACAATTTAACTAGAAAGAGGGAGTGACTGGAAGCAAACTGCATTCACCCCTCTAGGGGGAACCACATGCGATGCAGCCACCTTTTCCAGGTGGGTATTAGGAACCTATGTACTTCATAGCGTACCCTTGCTCCCAGTAGATTTATGGCACACTGACCACATTGGGGATCCCTGTTACAATAGTGTTGAATTGAATTCGAAGTTAATCAGCTGGACACTTTGAGCATCATCACTGTTGCTCAACCCTGAGACAGGGCTTGGAAAAAACACTGGACAAAACACTTGAGCCTTTTCTCTATTACAATAGCCCCTGCTGTCTTCAAACAAACTCAGTACAGTAAATAACATTACAAACAGCAACATCATAATAAAACAGCAGCAAGAAAGAGCCAGTGCTCTGGATGACCAAGTGTGAAGCAGAAGAAGGTAGACAGGCAGTATTTATCTGCCTTACATAAAGGCAGCTTCCTGCCCTGTATTTCAGAACAGGGTTTCACGTGCCTTGGGGCATAGTAAGGTTCACACCACAGTACCAGCTGCCAGTCTCCTTCACATTAATGCCACAGCATCCTTTAGGTTCATCACTCTGTGATTAACTCCCTACAGATTGTGCCCTCTCTGTCGTTTCCATGCCTGCTGAGTTTTGAGAGCCTGATGATGATCTTTGCATTCTACAAGCCCAGAGGCTCAGCACAGTCACTGGCAAACTGTCTGGGTTTCCTCCTTTGGACTAGAAAGGGAAAAATTCCATTAGGAAACATTGTGTTTCCCATTGCGAAAGATTAACAGCCTGCTACATACGAAGCAAGAGGTGCCATGCTGGCTCTGGTATGCTAATGCCACCTAATCCATCAACCTCTTCAGCTTTTTTTTCAGTCATGCTTCAAAACCATAACCAGGGTTAAGAGGGAAATGTCCCAGTGATGAGTTAGCAGAAAGATGCCATAGCCATGGAGATACCATGTGCGCAAGAAGGGATGAAGTTTTCTTCTGCATTCACACTGAAACATGTCTTGGCCTCTGTCTCAAACACATTCACCACCAATGAATCCAAATTAAATCCTTCAGCTGAAAAGCCATCCTTCAGGCTTGAGCTTTGTGATAGGGCAGATGCATTATCTTCCCTGTTTGCTAAGCTATAACTGAGTCATTACCTGTATCATCACAGTAAGTGAAAATAAGTAATAATCATCAACCAAAAGATGTCCTTCAATGGTAACTTCATAAAAGAAGGATTATCAAGTCCTTCATGGCATGCATCTATTGATGAGATTTCCCCAAAACTAATTGGGGTGGATTAGTATAATATTAGTTTCATAGATGCACTTAAGCAATACAGGCAGTGAGTCAGTGTAGCCTGTTGGGTGCAGAAACAGTAAGAGACAAGTTTCTGTTCTTATGGAAGTGAGTACATACTTTCAGGCATAAATCCACATACAGGCTGCATGGGGGTTCCAAAGCTAGTAAAGAATAATTGCCCTATGGGAAACACGCCTCAAGATTTATCCAATGCACTCATGTCTCAGAGAAAACTTTAAGTGCCTGGTATACTGTGGGTCTTCAGGAAAGGCAGATTATCCCGCTCTCCCATTAGAGGTCAACTATACTGCATACCCTGATGTACTGATACTTGTATACCCTGGTAGGACCTGCAGGGAATTACATACAGTATAGCTTTGTCTTTGTACGGCCACACAATAACCCCCTTGGCATTAATTTCCCTGTGTTGACAAGCTCTTGGACTTCTTCATTAATTATGTGTCCCCTTTTGAGCCAAAGGACCGAGCGACTTTCAACTCTGGAAAGGAAGCAAGAGCTGACACCTTGACATGCAGACCCACCTACTAGGCACAAGGACTATTGTCCTCACAGTCTCCCAGTATCAGATGCAGAATGGATGTCAGAGAAGGTTGCACGTAAGGATTAGGCCATCACCAGCAAGTCCCATCAGCTACATTACCCATTCCAGCCAACAGGCGAGGACAAAGTGCCAGGGAGAAGCACTCCGAGATTTCTACGGGAACAACAGACCCTCCCTGTGTATTGTGGACATGCTCCTCTTGGAAGCAGGGAAGGGGAAGCGTCCAAAAACATACCTGCTCTCACTGTATTCCTTCTTCTCTCTCACACGCAGCCACTTCCGAAGGAGGAAGCGCTTGCGCCGTGGGGAAGCACTGGGTGTGGAGCAGTTGGACCAGGGTGTGTCCTCGTCGCTGGAAGGGGTGATTTCAATGGATGGGAGCTGCAGGTATTCCTTGCTGGAGGATGGATCCTGATACCTGCAGGCCTCCAGGCTCTGCTCCTGCACATTCTTCATCCTCCTCATCTTGAAGCGCTTCCTGCGCAGGGTCGGGGTGGAGGAGCTGGACCAGGCAGAGCCCCCCTCCACCACCTGCTGCTCGGGGACTTGCAGTGCTGGGAGCTGCAGGGTTTCTGTCATGTTGGCAGCTGGCATCGGTTGCCCTTTCTCCTTCTGCTCCCACCCCCAAGCACTCTAGCTCTGATCCCGGTGTAAACCACACCACGACACTGCGGCTTGCCTTCCTCCTCCCTCACCCGGTCCAGCACTGCCCTCCCTCTCAAGCAGGAAGCCCCATGTTCTTCACGTGCTTTCATTTAACACACAGCGGGGTGGGGATGTTCAGGACAGACATGCCACAAGGGAAGCCAGTGTCAAGTTGTTCTCCTTCTCCTCTCTACAAAACAAAGTCCCTCCCCTGCCTGGTCTCTCTCATAGCAGGTTTAGCACCGAGACGAAGGTTGCCAGCAACGGCTTGGCTCACTTTCAGCTTCTTCCCCCCCCAGTCCCCCTTTGCCTTCTGTCTTCTTTGCCTAATGTTGGCTCAGGAAAGCAAATCTCCTGGGGCTGCGCTAGGAAACTCAGCTTTGGTCTTCTCAAGAGACGAAGCAAGTATGGAGTGGAGCGGCGTGGAGCTGTGAGGAGGTCAGAGAGAGAAACAGAGGGAGGGAAGCAACAACACTAGATAAAAATCAGGAGAAAGAGGAGCAGGAGCAGCATGTTCTTTTCCTGTAGCCGGTAAAACATATGCAGGCAGCTGTTGCAAGTGGAACCGCGCTCTTAATCCCAAGGGACAGGGTTTATATTACCAAATATACTGCTGCTGCAAATCAACCGAATGAAAAAGGCTAAGACGGCAATAATAGCCCTCTGCAGCAGGCAATTGGACAGGCTTTCTCCTTGTCCCACCTTCCTGCTCAGCCAGCCCAGCCCAGGGAGGGAGGGAGCAAGCAAACTTGGACTTTCAGCCTTCTTTCACAACTAGGTGGGGGGTTTTTAGTCCCCATTGACTGTTCACAGAGAGGAAAAGGGATGGGGGAAAAGCCATAAAGCAGTAGCAGCATGTGGCACCAGGACAGGGAGGCTGGTCGGCTTTATAGCTCAGGTTCACATATGAGTGAAAGCTAGTTAAGTTCTTGGAGAGCAATGCTGCTTCCAAAATGACAGTGGGTGATGGATGGCCTCAGGTCCAGGAACCAACAAAGACACCACATAAAGACAAGCAGACATGCAGAACAGATTTGAGACACACACTAAAACAGAAGACCCCCAGGCATTTAATATGCTAAGGAATCTCTACCAAGAGTCACGCACTGGGAGGAAAAGCAGCCTCAGGACAAGAACCAGTGTGACATTCTCCATCAAGACCCCCTGAATGAAGCTGTATGTTCAGGTGGAAAAGCGACATAACTTTTATTCCCTAAGGAAGTGACTAGAATGGATTTCAAGTGTGCTCTCAGGAAAAACAAGCATCCCAAAATCCCAGCTTCAGTTTTCATTGTTCAATAGCCTGAGCCTTTAAAAAATATTAGTTTAAGGTTAGAAAATATTTGTCAACCCAAATCAAAACAGTTGTCCTTGTATGGGCTGCCTTGGTTGTGTTTGAAAATAAACTTCCCAAGGACTTTAAACATCAAAATCTACCATCTAGGACACAGATAACTAAGGACATCAGATAAAGACTTATAACAGCAGGACAAGGGGGAAGGAAGCATTTCAATAGTGTGTTGTATTGAGGCTTTTTAGTCCTTATTCTACTATAGTCTAGTTTGCTGTACTGTCCTTTTTGCTCTGCTCATCCTGTAAGTTAATAGCTTGAGCAGCTCTTCAAATCTATTTCTGGAGCTCCTGTCACCTTGGTGTCAATGCATCAGGTGCACACATATAAAAACATAGAAGGCATTTTGATTGTAAGTGGGTGTTTGTAAAGTAACAACTTTTTCAATTCCAAGAAATTAATATCTACAGATTAGTCAAAATGCCAGCATTCCATAACTGAGACTTGCACAAGTACCTGTGCATCCTCTCTGCCTTTCCTCCTCTGCAACATACCTGAGCATGGCAACACACGGCTGAAGGACTCAGGGTTTCTGTCATGTTAGCACACATCTAAAAGCCTGCACATAGCATTGTTGGCTAGCTGTTAACACAGGAATTTAACTGTCATCTTCTCATGGCATCTGGAAATCCAAACCCCACAATGTAATCCCTAAATCAGCGTGTGCAACTTCAGGAGAAGGGTTTACTAGCCCTTTGGAGGCTGTCATAAGCAAGTCTGGCTTCCTATATTAATGAGCCTGATCTCCTACAGAATCTTTTATCAGCTACATAAGATACTCAATTATAGATACAAGTGCAAATAAGAAGGGTCAAAGTTTGCCCTTTTGCATGATTTCTGCAGCAATAAATTGCAGAGCGGACATTGCAAAACCACAAATTCCCCACTGCTGTCATCTAATTAATCGGGAGACTCACACTACATTGCTCTGGGCAAAAGGAGCATTTGGTAATCACCTTCTTGAGCAAGGCAGAACTGGCCCTTTCACCAGTCTGCTTTTTGCTTGCATGGCCATGCCAGTAAGATTTCTTCACCCTGAGCCTCACCGAACGCTGGAATCAACTTCAGCGAGACCAGGGATCCTTTCCCATTGCTTTTTCACACATACAAACCTGGGGCTGTGCCATGAGAATCCTTTCACTTAGGACAGTGTACACATGCATTGGGACTATCCCTTTAATTCCAAGTACTTCACTGGTTAGTAAGCAACACTTCTATGCACTCCAACATTCTCAGCACAGTTCTGTTTAGGAGAGAGGATGCTGACACCTGTCTGATGCTCTTAGGAAAGAGAGAAGCTATGTAACAAGAGAGACAGCTCAAACGCCTGACCCACAGAGTGAAAAATACCAGCCACGACCAAGCACTATTCCTGTACAAATCACAGCAGCACCATTTGACTGCCTCCATGAGAGCCTGTGCAGTTGCTGCATCCTTGTTTAATGACTACTCCTGTAGCTTAATGATCCGTCTAATGACAGATTCATTAGAGCAGCAAATAGTTGTCACTGCTTCAGGTTGATGAACAGTCTTTCTCCCGCTCAAACATTCCGTCTTTTCCAGTGTCCAGAAGAGGATTTATGAATTAAACAAAAAAGAAAGAAAAATCCTCTACAAAAACTAAAAATCCCTTCCCTGAATGAACACAAACTAATTCCAGCCCAGGTTCTTTGGCAATCCTTTCCGTAATAGCTTTCCCATGTGTTTAAGGGATGGCAAAATGTCATCCCTAATAGCTGAATACAGAATATGAGATAGCACCGAGAGTACACTGTAACAGAACAACTTGCTAATTAAAAGCAGTTGTTTTTAAGCACAGGAGATACATCCAACTTGTTCAAAAGACTAACAAAGTAGCACTATCTGCCTACAGCAGCTCTGTCAGGTCAGGCAGGGGGATCACTGTCAAGCTGTATCTTCCTATTCAAACTTGCCTTTTCCTACGGTTCAACAGCGTGTTTAACTCCTTGTGCTTTCTGTGCAGAAGTGGCACAGAGAAACCTGCCGTGCCCACAACACAGCAGCCCCTGCTAGGTCAAAAGCCCCATTTCCAAACTGGAGAGCTAATGTGCTTCTTTTTCCTGTGAAAATTCCAAAGTATTTTTGTGAGTTCAAATGAAAAACAAATATTTATCTGGGTTTACTTCTGCATTCCAGCAGTCTTCTGCAATAACAATCATGTTATCTTTGGAACCAGAGCACTTCCTTACACCTGGGCTTCAGCCATCCTTTGCTCTTTGTATATTACCTTAGAATGAGGCCTATTACAGTTTGACATACGACTTGTTGATACATGCAAGTAGCATGGATTGGCTGATTATTCTTCCCTTCAGTTCTGTCCCTTTAAATCAGGCACTACCAACCAGCAGTTGCTATCACTTGAACACACAGAGTCCATTTTATTTTGGCTCTGTGATACTGGATACCTGCATGTGTTGTTCTCTGAAACCCAAGCGCTGTTACAAAACAGATGACAAGTTTCCCAGGCTGCAAGCAACAAATACCAGCAACAGGCTGATAGCCCAGTATATCACAAAGCAAGATGGAGCCAATCCTGTGGACCATATATTCCCCAGTTCTCCCCTGCTCAGTAAAACACTCTTTTCCATCACCTACTCCACAAGCAGCCCAGTTAAGAAAGCAGCCCTGAACTTCATTTAACAACCACGAGTCTCCATTACTCGTGTTAAACACTGCCTCCACATCTCCTCACCTCCCAGAAAACACACTGTGAAGGAAAACAAACACATTTTTACCCTGAAGGGCTGAGGATGTTCCTTCCATGCCACCTGAACAAAGAACAGAACCGTTTTCATTGTCGTTTGACCAATAACAACAGAAGTACTGTCAATCACAACTCCAGTCACTGAGAAATCAGGTTTTGGATAAACTAGTATAAGATTATAAAGTATTTGTCACTTGGGTACTCAAAAAAGCAAAACCATGCACAGCACGCTACAGAAGGATACCCGATCCGAAAATTAGAAGCAGTAACTCTTAACTCATACCAGAATCACATTCTTGTCACCAACACCATGGGTGACAAGAGAAAGGAGTTGCAGTAGGCTTGGCCATGTTGTATCCAATCTCTCCTACCAAAACCAAACTACACTTGTGGAATCCATATGTTGTATTACATATTAGTTGCTGGCAATACTTGAAGAGGCTGAGAAAAAGGCTGTCTCCAACAGGGCTTTCTGCTTAGAGGTTAACCTAAATCCCTTCCCTTCCAAAAGGGATACTTCTTATGTCAGCAATAACCATTACAGATGTCTGTCTGTGAATTCTTACCAAGCATCACACTTAACCAGGCATTTCAATTTTGACCTACTCAGTAGCAGTCCCCTGATTCTTCAGATACCACCCAGAATTCCAGGAATTGTCAAACCCCATTCAAACAGCACAGCATAGCCTGTATTTTTTTCAGCATCAGGACAATGCTTTCGTGGTTGATTTCTTCAGGTACTGCTCTTCCTCCAAATTGAAGGGGACAGTGGAGCCAAAGATAGCAAGCCAAACAAATTAAATCAGTGTCATGACTTTGCAATAAGAATTCAGCAGAAGATAACAACCGGGCAAAGGTTTCAGGACCTTTTCCTCAGTTGGAGTTTTCTTTGCTATTTAGAACTCCAGTGAACTATTTGGCACTGCTCAAGATCTCTCACTTGAGTATCACAAAGGGAAGCTCATTTCTTCCCATAAATCTAAGGGAGGGGCTCTAGGGTAGGTCAATAAATAGCATCCCTCATAAAATATGGGGTGATCCTTTAGAATGAATTTCCATATGAGCTTGGCATTTGGTTTGTGCTATATATTGTACATGAAGGAAGCAAGGGGACTACCCAAATTCCTTTGAATTCCTCCTCCTGTAGAGCACTCACTAACGGGTCACAGCTCACGGCACACTCCATTAACCACAGGAGAACAAGCCTCCAAGTACAAAACGTCTCTGAACAGCACATTCTTCCCTATCCAACTAAAACACCTGCTTTGCTAGGTCAGGTCAGCAGAGTTTGCTTTATTTAACCCAGACCTGCGCACAGAAACATGCACACCAGGTCAAGGACCTTAATACACTAAAAACATCACTCAGCTGTTAAGGAAGATGAAAGACTGCCTACGCAAGTGTGACAAACTCACAGCTCTCATTAAAACCTTGAACATGTCCAAGTTTTATTTGCCCCAAGAGCAGCAAACTTAAGATTAAACTAAATCCTTGCTTCCCCCCTGCTAAGTCACATGCAAG